GTTTTAAGGCATGATTTAAAAGAGTCAATGTCAGTAATGTTTCTAATAGAGGCAGGTAGAGAGTTCCATAATATGGGAGCAGCAACAGAAAACGAACGATAACCACAGGACTTTAGATTGTACGATTTTACAGACAGCAACACTTGAGATGACGAACGAAGTTTACGGGCAGGACGATATCTTTGAACAAGTTCTTGGATATAAGTAGGAGCAGTAGAATACAAAGCTTTGAAGACCAGAAGAAGAATTTTAAACTTGATTCTAAACTCAACAGGTAGCCAGTGAAGGTTGATTAAAATAGGAGTGATATGGTTGTGTTTCTTGGAGAGAGATATAAGGCGAGCGGAAGCATTTTGCACAGATTGTAGACGATTAATAATGCTTTTTGGTAGACCATATAAAATAGAGTTGTAATTATCCAATTTAGAAGTGATGAAGGCATGTATGAGGATTTCAGTCGATTTTAGAGAGAGATATTTTCTGATTCGGGCAATGTTTCTTAAGTGGAAGAAGGCAGTCTTGCAGGTATTTTTTATGTGAGGAACCATGGTTAGAGAAGAATCAAAAATAACACCAATGTTTCTAGCAGTTTTTGAAGGATATATTAGTTCAGAACCAAAAACAAGATTACGCGTTGAAGATTGAGGATTAGATTTAGGAGAAAAAATTAAGAATTCAGTTTTTTTTTTTTAGTTAACTAGTATCCGTTTGCTTTTTAAACATGTTTTAAACAAGACTATCCCTCAACCCCTCTCCTCCTTTCCAGCAAATTGGCGATTTGTGTAATAGCAAATACGGTAACTAGCGTAAATGACGGTTTACCGTTTAGACTCCCTGTGGTGATCCAGTAATGATACGTGCAAGTCTTGGTATTTCCCTGAAAAATGTCGTGTAGGCTTGTAATAGCGATTTTCCGGGAGATTCGGGTCTCATTCTTATCTATAACCGGAAGACCGAGAAATGCGACCCAAAATCTGATCCAGATTACCCGGAGATCGAGTCGGCAGCAGGTAGATTTTGTCGAGCGTGAAACAATAAAACACCTAAAAAATCGATTCAGATGACGAAGGCGCGCAAGAGTACCCACTCGCGCGAGGTCCCGGCGCTGCCGCACGATGAAATGGACGATGCTATCACAATAAATATCGAATAACAAAAAAAAAAAAATACTCTCAGAATGACCAGTATATATAGAACAATCTCAGACATTTCAATGCGTTCAGATTTTATTCATAAAATAAAAGCTTTTTATAGGAAACAATGTAAAAATAATTAAAAAAATGGACAAAAGTCTGTTTTTCGAACTTAGTTTGCGCCACTTGATATCAACTTTCCAACTATTTCTTGAGAGTAAAGAATGAGCTGCGTATGTTTGTAGAATATCGGCGCGGCACCCTTGTTTAGCATAACCATACAAGAAATGCACCCCTCTTGACACCCTAAAGGTAATGCTATGTGTCAATGTGATCGTGGAGCAACATTGCTCCAAAGGGAGGGGGAGAGGCTATAGGTTGATATAAAGTACTGAGGTACACGAATACAGGCGGGCTCGGTACACGCTATACTATGAATTGAACTATTCAGTTCAACTATTTATTTAGGTCCCCATTTTGAAAAAAACGAATCCTCGATTTGTAAGGCAACCTACGGTCCTGAAATATAATTATAAATATCATATTGTGCAAAAAGAACGCTACTGTCCAAGGTTTTTTGTCAACTATTGTAATTTGTATCCCGCGAGGCACGGGATCGTTATGTACCACAGGTAATCCGCATCAGCACGTCTTTTTTTTTCTCTCGATAAATAGTAGGGAAAAGCCAAGAACCAAAACTAATCGAGAAGCGAAAACTGCGCGGAGTATGAAATCACTCTACTGTCGTTTTATGATTTATAATATTTCTAAGTTCTCTATATTCACTATATTTATGCTAATATCTGGTTAGACTTTGTATGAGGGTGGCCTGTGAGATAGCATGGCAACGAGGCAACGGGAATTCAAAATGGCGGAAGATGGAGACAGAAGTTTCGAAGAGTTAAATAGAACACCTTTATCGCCAATTGTAGGAACTCCATGCGATGAATTAGACGCTGCAGATCTTTTTGAAGGATATGTTAATCCTGATTTGCGTGTATCTTTCGATGAAGATAATGAAATTGTTTATCTTTCTCCGGGAAACGAATTCGATTCTGAAAGCTCTGAGCAAGAATTTGAGGACATTTACACACAAGAACTCGGCGTAACTCCGCCACGAAATGCACGACGGAATAAAGAAAAAAGTAAAACTAGTAGAAAAGTTCAGGGTTTGTCTGTGAAGATGCCAGAGGTAAGAGCAGAGGTGGAAAAACAGAAAAAGCGTGATCGGGATCGTGGACGGGAAACCAGTCAGTCCCAGCTTCGCACAGAAAGAGCTTACATGCGACAATACAAACGAAATAGTCTCGGAAACGCGTTTTCACAGGATGTGGACTTGTCTAAATCACTGAATCTACCCACTGTTAAAATAGAATCCCGGAGATTTATGTCTTTAAAATGCACAAGACCAGATAAAGGACGCTTAAAGCGATCAGAGTCTGATCCCAAGCACCTCGTACAAACAACAGGTGAACTTTCTAATCACAGACAGGAGTTTTTGCGCACATTCTCTTTGCTTATTAAAATAGGAGCGCATGCTCGTCAACATAAGGACAATCAATTTGCTCTGTCAGAATTAGAAAGGCAGACCTCAGAGGAACATAAGAAGTGGCAGGTTAAGCTATGTCTTGCATTATGGCTGGAACTACGTGCATGGCATAATGGACGAACCATGGAGGAACAAGATAGGTTTCTAGTGGAGGAACGTGCTCACATTGATGAGGTGCTCGATAGAATTATTAATTTTAATTTGAATAAAGTGATCTCCAGTGGAGACGATAACATTTCTCCTTCTGTGAAGGAATCAAGTAACAGTTGTTGTACAGCTAAATCACATGATGGCATTGTACCAGATAGCACTCAGGTATGTAATTCACAGGAACGAAACACAGCCAATAATTCAGATGGAAAACAGAGAAAAGAGCCAAGCGCATCAGATCCACAAACACCATCAAGACAAAGCTCTGATGCTAAAACTAAAAGAAAAAAGTTGAAATTAATTCTAAAAAAGCATCCAGTTGAAGATGATAAAGAGAACAAAGCCCAAAATGTTCCTGGAACTTCATCTCAAATAATTAATGTACAAAATTTACAAACTGAGAACTTGGAGTCACTGACGCCAGAAAATGAAAGTACACCAATAAAAACCAGGGCACAGAATACCAACCCAAGAAACCTTGTACATGAGCTTGAGAGCACAGTTCATTGTATTGAAGCGTTGTTGGAGGATGTAGAGGCAGTGGAGCACCTGTACTCGACCCAGAGAGCACTAGGAGAAGCCAACCCCAAATATTTCAGTGACAGTTTTAATAGGAATCATGATGGACTTGTTCTTTGGATGAATTTGATAAAGGAAATGCTTCATAAACTTACTCTGGTTGCAAGGTATATTGGGATAGAACAAGGATTCTCAAAGGATATTTGGCAGGACTGGTATGATGCCGGCATGGGCATGCTCGGTAAGTTACATTTGTAATACAATATAAGTAATTTCACCTGAAAATTGTTTTCTAATTGAAGCTATTTTAAAATGAGAAAGAGCAGTTTGTTAGAAAGTGTGATTAATGTCATTGATGTATTCTATGTATATCACCTGGCAAAACACCCAGCATGCAATGAGCAATAGGACTATATTATCAATTGTTGCTATAAACTAGCTCGCTGTAACACTAATGCTCTTTGCCAAGAATGTATTGTAATCTTGTGACAGGGAAAGTATATTGCAGGGAAGACCCTTGCGTCGTGACCTCAATATTTTGAAGTTTGGGAGGTTTTAAGTTTTACAGTGACTTGGGACACAAATTCAGCCAATCAATCCAACTACATTTGTCCTCATTGAATGCTGTATATAAACATATCTTCAATTAAAGTATTTTTGAACAGTTTTTATATAAAGTCGCATAAAAAAACAAAATCCAGTAAATAAATAGGGTTAGGTACTCCTAATTTCAGAAAGAGAAATTTGTATTTTAGTAAAAAACAGGATTAAACCTAATCAAATAAATGGTTGTAGGTTGGTCTATTCATTACGATGTAAGCGCTACTTCAACCTTAAAGTTATTTATTTTTGTTGAGCTTTCGGCTCACCAAGCCATTATCAAGACTAATGAAAAACGTTACATTTTACAACAACATTTTATGTTGTTTTGTAAAATGTAACGTTTCTCATTAGTCTTGATAATGGCTTGGTGAGCCGAAAGCTCGACGAAAATAAATAACTTTTAGGTTGAAGTAGCGCTTACATCGTAAGGATTAAACCTTGTATTTATTGAATACTGTTTGTACTAACATGCATTGTTCATATCCTGAAGGGGATTCCCATACTAACATGCATTGTTCATATCCTGAAGGGGATTCCCATACTAACATGCATTGTTCATATCCTGAAGGGGATTCCCATACTAACATGCATTGTTCATATCCTGAAGGGGATTCCCATACTAACATGCATTGTTCATATCCTGAAGGGGATTCCCATACTAACATGCATTGTTCATATCCTGAAGGGGATTCCCATACTAACATGCATTGTTCATATCCTGAAGGGGATTCCCATACTAACATGCATTGTTCATATCCTGAAGGGGATTCCCATACTAACATGCATTGTTCATATCCTGAAGGGGATTCCCATACTAACATGCATTGTTCATATCCTGAAGGGGATTCCCATACTAACATGCATTGTTCATATCCTGAAGGGGATTCCCATACTAACATGCATTGTTCATATCCTGAAGGGGATTCCCATACTAACATGCATTGTTCATATCCTGAAGGGGATTCCCATACTAACATGCATTGTTCATATCCTGAAGGGGATTCCCATACTAACATGCATTGTTCATATCCTGAAGGGGATTCCCATACTAACATGCATTGTTCATATCCTGAAGGGGATTCCCATACTAACATGCATTGTTCATATCCTGAAGGGGATTCCCATACTAACATGCATTGTTCATATCCTGAAGGGGATTCCCATACTAACATGCATTGTTCATATCCTGAAGGGGATTCCCATACTAACATGCATTGTTCATATCCTGAAGGGGATTCCCATACTAACATGCATTGTTCATATCCTGAAGGGGATTCCCAT